AGCTGTCAGTGTTGACGCTGATGAACTTGTTAAGTAAACGTTGTCTTGGTATAGAGTCAAAAGCTGAAGTATAGTCTAGAAAAGCACATCGAACATAGTTCTTGCCCTTTTCTAAGTTGAACACTATGTTGTGATGCAGAACTGCAACAGCATCTAAAGTGCTTCTTTTGCGCCTGTATGCAAACTGGTATGGGTCAGTATGCTCTTTTATCGCAGGCTGAAGTGGAAGAATTAATAATTTTTCCATGGTTTTGAGGAAGGGTGAAGTTATTGCAATAGGTCTAAATTTTACATTCTTATCACCAAATGCTTTCTTGGGTACAGGAATTATCTTCATCTTTCTCCACATTTTCGGTATGAGATTAGATGAGAAGGATCTGTTAAATATAGTTGTGAACGGATGACACAGAACGTCAGCACATTTTTTAAAAAGGATGTTTGGGATACCATCAGGTCCCAAACATCGAGATGAATTAAGCTACTGGAGACATTTTCGTACATCAGTTTCAGTGAAAGTATGAACACAGCTATTTTTTAAACCCGTGGATAGAGGGAGCATCACATCAGATGACTGACGTACAAAAGACTTATTTAAGTCACAAACATTCAGCTGGTTATCGCTTCTAAACTTTCTGTCACCTGTAAGTTCTCTAAAGAATTTCCACATACTTGTAGAGTTTTTGCAAGATAAGAGTTTTTGAGTAAACATGCAGTTGAGACGTCTAATCTCTAGGTTTATCAGACCATTTAGCTTACGAACTTCATTTGAGTTCTTCTCCTTGTACATTCTTTCTTTCAACCTCCGTAGTCGTTTTAGTTGTGAAGATGTAAGTCGATCAAAACTTACAAAAATGGTTTCAGTGGGACAACAAATATCAAAACAGAATTTAAGGTAACAAGTGATAACATCAGTAGTGTTTTCGAGTGAGTCATCTGTAAATAATTCCCAGTTAGTCGTATGAAACATGTTTTTCAGATTTCGGATATTTTCTTCTGAGTAATTCCTATATTTGACTTTCTTGGTTTGATGTAAGAGTGTACTCTTCCCATGCTTTCCATATACTTTAGGTAGAACACGAATTATACAGTGATCTGAGCTAGACAGTGGAGCACGTTTACGAGTCGCATATATACCCACATCATTAATGAAAACGAAGTCTAAATGAGCATCCAAACGAGTAGGAAAATCTACTACGTTTTGGTGACCTAGTGACGTAAGGAAGCTACAGTTACATGAATTGAAATCACCACATACAACTGAAAGTGAATCACTGAAGCCAGTAACAGCGAACTCAGTGAATTCATTAGCAAAAACAGATAGTGCAGATGATGTGCAATCTGGAGTGACGTAGATATTGGTAACATACACATATTTGTATTTATTCAGATGTTTAGGACGACATCTTAGAGTTAGACAGTCGATAAAGTCATTTGAAAACTTAAAACACACAAACGAAGATCGACACCAGTTTATGTTTACAAACGTAGCTACACCGCCACCACACCTTTTTTTATTGTTCGATCGATCCTGACGATAAATTTTGAAATCATGTAGTGATACAAGGCAGTCATCCTGTAAATCATTCAACCAAGATTCTTGAATTGTGATGACACCACAATTACAATACGCATTTTGACTAAGTAGGAATTGCAGATAGTCCACTTTGTTGATTAGTGATCGGCAGTTAGAATTTAGTAGCTCGGGAATCGACATACGATTGATGTTCATTCTCTTTAACCCATATTGCCAACCACCACGATGCCTTTTATAGTACTTTTTCATAACTTGTGCAGCGAAAGGTTGTAGGCTTTTCATAAAAGCGCCTGAATAGGTTATGCGGTTAATGGACATAATTATAAATTAAAACAAATGAAAAACAGATAACTTGTTGAAATAATCAGATGGCAGAAATAGGTAGCCCAGATATTCAAGCAGGCCGCCTCAAGTTGGTGTCAAGAAAATGGGACTATATAATGAGAGTACAGTTCAGTATAATTTCTAAAATCTGTTTGATACTACTGTTTCTTGCAAATTAAATTTTAAAAAATTCTTATCTGGACTAATTCTTAGTTAGGAAAAATTGTATAACACATCGAGTATCTTAGGTGGTTGATAGGATAATTGGAACTCAGGTTACTTGCTATTTATTAATTCTCAGCAAAGTGTAACTATAAGCTTCAGGTAACTGATATTGCTTAGATGGTTGAATCCTCTGTCACTCATCAACTTAGCCTAGAATATTACCCTTAGATTATTTGGTCCTATACTTATCTGTATAAGTTATTGTACACGATTTTAAGTTACGTAAACTGCCCGAAAAATTGCAGCTTGATCAATAGAATCTGTTCAATACCACAAAGTCCAGTCAGACGTCATTAGTGACTACTCAGTAATCAGTCAATGATAAACATCATGAATAGATACCCCAACAAAACAATATTATAACAAAGCAAGTATACCATATAGAATTATTAAGCGACAAGTTCTCACCAAAATTATTATTTATTGTTGAATTTTAGATCAAAAGCTGTAAAATAATTGAATATAATGGACTAGTATCGTAAGGCCATTGAATGGCCTTTATTACTTGAAAAAAAAACATAAGAATATATTTTTGTATACTTTAGTATTTGTTACATACTAAGCTATAGTGGACGGTATTAATAGAAAAATAGTGTGGTGTTATTTTAAACAGCTTCTTCTTTAATATGAAGCCAATGTTCGAAATTTTAATCTTAATGTGACCTGATGTTGTCTAGATTTAAAAGCTCACATAACAATAAAATTCTTGAAAGGTGCATACCAAAATTTTGAATTCATTCTTGGATTTACTAAACAAATATAAGCACAACTCAATTACAGTCTTTTTGCCAATCAAACGAATGTATTATAGTAGTTCCTCATGAAATTTATCCTTCCTCATACATAAAGTTTATTAGGTATTCAGTTGATGCTTAGTAAACAATAGATTAGATTGTGGAATAATAATACAAAAGTTTAACTTGATCACTTCTACATCACGGTAACAATGTAAAACAACAAATATTTTCAGGTACTCAAACATTAATAGAAACATCATAAAAACTATATAATCATTTCAAAGTAGATTTTACAATATGGTTAATATTCGTTAAAAATAAAAAGACATGGTTTTAATTAAATCACTAAGTTTTACATATGACTTGTTTACGAAACATTATTGGTTCTTACAACAATTATTTCATGTTTAATGCTTAGTTATTAATTCATAAGTATTGATTACTTCGGAATTGCATAATCTTATCTTCATGTTATGTTTATGAGATGAGTAGCCTGTTTGTGATACATCAGTGGTGTTAACATTTAACATTACTAATATTATTTAATTTTTTACCAACCATTTTCAATCGATCTTCAGTGTTTGCAAGAATTTTATAAATAGTCTACTTGTTGTTTTTAATGATATCGGGAAATAATATTCATTCAAATGACACTTATTTTCAGGTTTTTTTAAAGTTCACACTTAATGTCATCTTTAGCTAGAAATTGAATTAATAGTATTACACATCTTGTTACTCAGATAAATAGCCATTCAAATTTACAGAGTTTATATTGAGACCTAAATATACTTTACTGAAAGGTGAAATTTTTTTAAATTTTCTTCCCTTTTGTACATTGGTTTTCTTAACAGATAGCATATTTAGAAAGTCAAAATATTTGTATTAAATTGAGGGATAATACAAATTATCAGCATAGGGTTGTGGAGTTTAGATTAATATCATGAATGGATCAATGTTAGACCACTACTGAAAAACCTAAAGCAATGGAGGACTGTTTCGTACTAGCATGAAACTTCACCGCAGTGTTCACTCGTGACCCCGCACGTGGGACTGGAATCCAGGGCATTCGGTCTAACGTGCGGATGCCTAACCTCTAAACCACTGAGACGACATCCAACGGTGTTAATTTCTAAATTTATCCGGCTCGTGATCTTGCACAAACTTTTGATGCAGGCACAATGGTTTAGAGCTTAAGCGTTCGCGCGCGAGATCGAAGGTCCTGGGTCCGAGTCTCGCATGTGAGATTGTCGATGCGCACTGCTGAGGAGTCCCGTGCTAGGACGGAGAGGACTTCCAGTGCTTCCAGGTTTTAAATGATGATCTATCTTAGATTGATGGGTGAATGCAACTTTGAAAATACTACAATCTCCACATGTCCCATACTGATATTTACTTAGTTTACAAGAACGAATAAGTTGCTTACAACATTTATACTTGCATGAAATTCCCGAACACGATTTTATTAGCTACGAATTGTTGTATTGTAGCTCCTTCCGCCAAGATAAGCAAAAAAAAAGGTTTTATACATTGCTTTCAACGAAATTACATGTACTATTATAGTGAACGAGAACTCAGATGGAGAAAACAAATTTATTGTTTAATCCAAAGTTACAGAGTGCTTTCATAAAATATGAAAACCGTACTTTAAAAAATTTTGCATATCTTCTTTTACTTGTTGTTGTCGTCATTACAATCGCTCACTATTTCACTTTCTGTTCTTCCCAGTCTTCTTCTGACAAACATTCCACTTTCAAATGATGTTACATACTACTTATATCTGTGAACATATATAAAATACATCACACTATAAAAAGTAACTATAAAATAATGGATATTTAAATTTACAGACTTAACTTGGATTTTTCAAAGTTTGTAATGTTTTTATCCATAAAGTATTTTGGAAGTGCTATTCAATTTCATAGTTCAATTCACGAGTCAACTGAAGCTAGACCACCATGGAAAACCCGGAATCACTGAACGGTATGGGATTTTTCAGCAGTGCGCATTCACGATCCCGCTTCGCGGGATTCGAACCCAGGACCTATCGGTCTCGCGCTTAATTTCTTAGTTATTATTATTGTTCCATATCTTTTTATTCGCAATCAATAACTCCTAATGTATTGACATTTAAAACTATAAATTCTAAAGTTATCTATATCTTTTATTTTTCTTTTCTGAAGAATTACAAATTGAATTCAATTATAAATCATTTAAGAGAAAATCTCTAGGCATCTTTTGAATTTCAAGTTTCAGTTAACTAGAAGAATTGCTAACCAGAAAAACATGTGCAATTTTTTCAATTCATACTTATATTTTATCAGTTTAATTCACTTACCATATTATTTAACACAAACTGATTGGGATATTCGAGCCAATGTTATTTTTCCTTCACCGTCTTCATCATCTCCGACAACTCCAATACCTGTAGTTCCACAAAAATCAACAATATATACTGTAGGTAATGAAATGAAAAATGTAGTAACTGAAAGTAGTAGAACAAATATACTACAATCTGTTGATGAAGTTATTGAAAAACAAGAAATTAGAATAGATTGTTTGGAAGCATTGCACAATTGTGAATTATTTAGTGGAATATGTAAAGTGGATGTAGATATTTTCAAAACATTTTGTGGAGATTGGACTGATGGTAAGTAGTGTATAAAGTTAACTTTTCATTTATATTTTTTCCAATATATGTATATTTATCGGCAATAAACGACTTGGTTATTGACTGCTAAGATTAGAGTTGAATAAAACTACAGGTATATTGACTATGAAAGGTTTTAGGTTAGTTGCACTAAAAAGGTTCATCTGAAGTACTTTCATTCATTTCGAACTAAAACTGGTCATATTGAAATGTTACGTTTAATAGTTTACTGCGTGTAAGACTATAATCAATAGTTTATCACTTAACTCATTACTATTGAATAGTAAAATAGAAAAAAACGTTTTGAATCTTTCAATATTAAATTAGATAACAAATAAGATAAATCCTTCTAACTGGTCATGAAAATTTAACAAATACAAACGTAATCATCATAAAGTATTCCTAATATATTTTAAAATAAAGTAATACACGTCATAAACTTATAACAGAATTGAGAAAATAGTATTAAATGATTGTACAACGGATGATTATATAAAACTTTCGATACAAAGTTAATAGGAAAATACTAGTCATCACTCATTTTTGTAGTATCTTTAATATGATCATCCATACGGTAGACAGTTGGATGATTAATTATGATAAACCGATAAATGCTGATAAGTCATAAAAATTTTGTAAAATGCCGGTATTTTACTATTGCTGTGTTACGGTTTTGTAATCAGTGCTATCTGGTACGGATTTATTTTCACTGGTAAGTTAATAGATGTAATCAGTTAAGCAAATGACGTCATTCTGATTACTGCATTATTCTTCAGTAGACGTCTATAAGTATTTTATCCGCTTGCAGTATAAAAATACAAGACGTTTTGTGTCAACTGAGACCTTATTATTTCTTTAACGATAAAAGTGGATTCATTGTTGGCAATATGAAAATAAGATGCTTTGTCAGAATTTTGAAAAAAAAATACTCAAAACAATTTATATTTTGATGTGGTTTGATCTTATTTTGATAGGTGAAAAGAATATAGATCTATGTTACCTTATGGTATACCATTAACACTAAATAGATGAAATCTTCCGTCTTTTTAAATCGTTATGATTAGAATGAAAGATGAGAAAAATGAACTATACAGATCAAAAGTTTTTTTTCATAAACATTACTATGTCCAATTTTTTGCATATCAATTCTTTAAATCTTATGAAACAGCATGAATCGTTAGTGTTTTCTTTTTTAATCCTCAGGAATGTATCATATTTTAGCCGGTTTCTCATACTCGTCATCAAATGCCCTAAATGTTGTCCACGTAATAATAATACATGAAAACGAAAGGTATCAGTATAATAGAAGTGATATCTAAGTTGTATCATGCTAAGATTTAAATTTAAATTTATTCCACTAAATGGGAGACATCTTTCGTAAATTGGTTTATTTGGACTAAAAGTCATCATTCATTTTGAGTTAAAATCTTAGTCCATAACATTTCAATTATTCTTTTTAGAGCGCAGTTTAATGGGGTGCCAGCGTAAATATTTACGAGAATGTCAATCAGCTCTTAGAACCATGAATCTTGGACGTCCAGGATTAAAGCATTGCATATGTGATAGTCGGTCTAGCCGTTCGATTGATGACTTAACCAAATGTAATCTACTTAGAAAAAATTTAAACAATCATCCATGTTTGGCTGAATCACCAATATTTCTTCGTGAATTACATACATCTGGAAAATTTCGCCATGAATCTAGAAAGGAAAGTGAGTACTTATTTATTGTATATTAACTAAAGACGTTTTATATAAGCGTATTACAAATACATTTACCATATGATTCTAATATTTCTTCGGGGGGGGGGTTGGTAAAAAAACCTTTTATAATGTGATGCATCGTTGCCTTTAATTCAATTTGAATTCGTTACTTGGATTTTGTTTTATGTAATAAAAACGATTTTTATAAAAATAACCTCATTTAGTATCTTAATTAAATTCAAGAGTATATTTGACAGTATGTTCGTTGTTTACACACCAGATTGGATCAGTAAAATTCAAATCAGTTGTTGAATGAAGTGACTTAATACATTTCTTGTATAATCATTTCTCATATTCTGAAAGTATTTTCACAATCGGACACCGTTAGACTATGTTCCATTTTATAATTAAATGTTATTTAAAGTGGTAATAAATACTTGGAGGATAAAATATCAACTTTTCAGACAACTTACTTACTTACGCCTGTTACTCTCAATAGGGCATAGGCCGCCGACCAGCATTCTCCAACCCACTCTGTCCTGGGCCTTCTTTTCTAGTTCCATCCAATTCTTGTTCATTTTTCTCATGTTTGTCTCCATTTCCCGGGGTAATGTGTTCTTTCGTCTTCCTCTTTTCTTTTGGCCTTGAGGATTCCATGTGAGGGCTTATCTTGTGACGCCCTGGGGTCCCTCCGGGGACTCCTGCCAGTCCCAAGTCCGGATAAAGGAGGAGGGTTGGACATGAGGTTAGCGACCCCATACATTAGAAAACTAACTCGCTAAAAAAACGCTAACCAGAAAAAATTATTCGAAACTTTTCAGACAACAAGGAACTTGAATTAGCTGGTAACTCATGAACATTTTTTTCTATACTTTTTAACATAGAACGTTAAACTTTTAACGTGGTATACATTTTGACAAAAAAAGTCGCATAGGCAATGATTAGACAACTTCTACGTTATACTTTAATGCTAAGTTGCACTTGAAATAATCTAAAACGGAGTAAAAACTGACAATCGTTAAACTATATGACAACAAATTTTATATTATTTGATGAATTCTCTATTTAGTTGTCAGTATTATAAATTGACGAAGGAATTTAACTAATTCGATTTTTTTCATCGATTCATAATAGTTATCGTAGTACCTAATGTATAAGTATATAAACTGTTCAGTCGTCATAAATACAAGTATAATTGGTTGGTTGCAGACTCTATGAACAGCCAATTAACGGTAGTTGTATGTAGATGTCGCTAGGCAACATTTTGTCAGAGTATTTTAATCGATTTCTATAAGTAGTAGCAATTCAGTGTATAAATGATTTTTGAATATTCATAATTTTCCATACATTACTCAATTTTAAGCTTTTACTAACAAATAATAGGACGATGGGGACGTTTAGTTTTGAAGTTCTTGAAAACTTAAACTGTCTTGCAAATTAAACTAATGGTTAAATATGACATAACTTATCATTAGTACTTAAACGTGGGTATTTATTTATAGACTGAAGAGTATGAGCATTATACATTCTCTCGAATAATTCATTTCATTTTATCATTGATTCACAAATTCTTTTGATTGTTTCAATAGATTTCATATATCCACAAAATATATACTATATTTTAAAGTAAAACTTGATGAATATCTATCTGAAAACAGTGTTATTCACTGATATGGTTTTAAAGATGGGAATTTCGAATACTTCTTTATAAATCTAAACATATTTCATTGTCTGAATTGATTTGTTATAATTACCACTAGCTTGAATATGCCATTAAAAAATTTATTGACCTTTCATCTATTGTCAGTTTATTGATCCCCGGCATAATAATCTTAAGGTCAAACTGTCACAACTCTGAGTATGGTGTTATTTGTTCAAATGTTTTCCCCTAAAATCACTCTGGGTTTGAAGACAAAATGAAAATACAAAAATGACACTCACTTCATTTTAACGTATGTCATGAGAATGTCTAACTCAACAGATTTTTGATTATCATGAACCGGTTGATGTCAGACCACCGTTGAAACCTGGAAACACTGGATGGCCGTTTCGTTCTATTGTAGGACTCCTTGGCAGTGCGCATCCACGATCCCACTTGTGGGATTAACAGGTTGTTAAATTATTCTGTTTAGGTGAAGGCAAATCAGTTTGGAATGTCAATAGATTAACACATAAGTTTATAAATGAATGTGATGCTGAAGTTAAGGACCGACTAGTAGATCTAAAGGTCCTACGTCCTGTATAGTGTGTGACGGCAGGCGGTCATTGTGTTCAGAAAAGTACAGTTTTCCAATTATAAACGTCAAGCTAAACCGATATGTTCTTGCTAAATCCTCTGATTCCTAATATTATCATTTTTGTTGTTATTATTTTCATTATGTTGTGCGATCATACCACAGTTAGAGCCTTCAAGTCATTTGACGAGTGCCTAAACTTCAGGGCAGTGAGCCTGCACAAGGTGTTTTTTTATGTTTATCTTCAACTCCGAGATAGCGTGGGGGATGTACAAGATTGTAGTGACATATATTATAACGAGATAGTTCCCCAGTGCATCTCGGCTTTTAGTGTTGATATGACACAGGTTTACTCATGAAAACAGAAACATTTGTCGATCTCCGCAAAACCTTCTATTTTGATATTCATTATCTACCTTCCAAAGACTAGTTTCAATAGATGACTGGTATAGTTCAGTCATGTATGATATGAATCATTTAAACACTATAGACAATGCAGCAATGTCGTGAATTTCCTGAAGTTCAAATGGAACAATTTTGTAAATGGCTGACGTGCACCGAATGAATAAAAATGACTTCAAGATATTACGTGTCATCTATTGTTTCTTCTTTATTCAGATTCATGAAGGGAACTAACCAATTAAACATGAAGTTGCTATTTAGATGGTTTTCCAGCAAAACCATTGTGCTGACTCACAATATTTTTTAATACGCGCTGAAAATTCTTTTCCATAAAAAACATCAAATGTTAAATGCTATGATAACTACATGTATTTCATCAAATGGATTGCAAATACACTATATGTTCTATCAGTTTTAATATGATATGTATGTCTCTTGAACGATATTTGGTAATAAAACATCATTTTTATGTAATTGAACATAAATTTCGAAATTCTCACAAACTGGCTAACTGTTTAACTGATTTTGATTACCTTACAGTAAAACCAGAAAGTAAACCTACTCAATCAACAAGCAATATGAATACAAATGTGAAACGTCTGAATACAACATCACTATTGGTCGAACCCTTTGTATCGTCTATACCGATGACTACTGAATCTCCTATCACTATGAATATGCTGTCTAGTGTAGGATTACCTAACAGTGAATTAGTTGATCAGCATTTGAACAAAAATAAACAAAATACAAGTTGTTTAGATTTACTTGAAAATTGCACTAAATTGCCAGCATGTGCCATAGCACTTAATAAATTTCGTGCATTATGTACTGTGAGAACTTGTAATAAGCTGAAGTGAGTTTATTTAAAGTTAATTATGTCTGAATTTCATTTGTATTGTTTCACTTTAGTAGTGGACCACCCAGTCATCATTTTGTTTTGTAGAACATTATCTTACAACAGCAATTGGCTTTCAATTAAATAAAGTACGAAGAAAATATTATGGTATGCAGATTAAGAAAAGTGTCCTACATCGATGAAGATTAAAATAATTAAGAGAAAATAAATTTGTATAAAAAAGTATAAGGTCTATAAGTGTTCCAAATTATAAATCCAAAATAATAATATAGTGTCAATTTTCATCTGACCAGAACCAATCTTTACCTCTTCGCAAAAATGGTGTTTGTTAAAATTGTTGGAAAAAGCCTTTGATTTTATTGAGATTTCGTTTACTGATGGCTGATAATCAAATGCAAGATGTAGATTTCATTCTTTTCAAAGAACGGATTTCACTGAACCTACATCAGCACTGCCTGTTCGCTCACCAAACCTTCATTTGCGATTAGCGAATGTAGATGTCTTTCTTTTTAAAGTCGATCGTGGCCCAAAATATTTAGTGTGAACATTGGCTTCGAGAAGAAAGCTGCCTAAAGAGTTCACTAGCATATCACCTACTAGACATGAAGTAAAACGATCATTTAGTGAAGTCATTTAAAGTCATCAGTAAACAGTTCACATTTCTATTAGCGAAATTCGCATAAGCAATTAAAAAGCTTATACATGACCTTCATTCGTGAAAAAAAGACAGTAATTAATCTCCAACTGCCTTGATGACATTCTAACCACTTCTTTTTTTCCAACTAATTGGAAGCATAATTTAATGAATTGACCTTTCATGTTCATTTTTTCTTTCTAGACTTCTAGAAAGAAAAAAATTCATAATAAAATTATTTTAACATTCTAAACCTTATTACCTTAAACAATTACAAAATAAATTCCCTTCTGAAAACTCCCTTTTTTAATTTCTTTCACATTAATTTAATCGTTGAGTTCATGTGCCAATTAAAACTAGACCATCATGGAAAACCTGGAAACACTGGACTATCATTTCACATTACACATAATTTATTCATTATTTATTATAAATTCAATTTAGCAAATCATTTACAGATATCAGCTTGTATGTAATTGAAGAGAATGAAATGAAATACAATCCATTTATCATATTTCATAAATATTGTCATTCTTGCTTTGTTTACATGTCTAACTATCAATTTTAATTTGGCAAATTTTTTTATGAGTAAAAATAACAATAAAGTTGAGAGTTTACAAAACACCAACTAATGATAATCAATTTAACTTCTAATGTAATTTTTTTCAATTTTTACATATAACTAAATACTTCTAGATCACAATGTTTAGAAGCATCAAAGAAATTTCTTCAACTTAAAACACATATGAATTGTGACTGTAAAAGTGAATTAAACGAAGGCAGATACCGTAGATGTTTAGATTATAAAGAGGCTGTAATTGATAATAAATGTGTTGGTAAGTTCTCTACATCATGTTACTTTTATGATATTTATTTGTTTGTTGAATCGTTTCTAAAATTTTTGAATTGTTGACTTGAAAAAGAAAACCAAATTGCGAAAATAATCGATATGAGTTACATACTTTGGTATGCGCTTTAGTAAACCTCTTTTACATTTGCTTTGAGTTGAGACTTGCCTTGTGATACATTATAATAATTCCTATTAGGTGTGACCTGTCCATACTCAAGGTCTTTCTCTATTTTCCACTTCTGCTGGGATGTGATTCATTAGGATATCGTTGACAGTATACAACCAATAGATCTAGAGTATTTTGTGTAGACAAGTGTTTGTAACTTCTGTTATATCCTTAGCTATACAATAATCGCGAAATACGACTGCCAATTTAGATACGCCGACTTATACGCATGCACCAGTACGGCAGCCTAGAGTTCCGACTGGGTTTTTTCCTCTTAGCCCTACTTGTTAAGTCCAGAACGTCAATCTCAATTCCCGCGACACGAATCATGTATTTCAAACATACTTGGTTTATATGCAGGCAAAATCAGACCACATCACATCATAAACTATAAAGTAGCATTTGTACAAGATCAAGCCAAAAGTGGCTGTGATTATGGGAAATTGTGACTAATGGATTGAGTATAACTTGAGAATAGTAAATCATATAACAGTAACCAATAAATCAGTTAAAAGTCTATAATAAGAGGAATACAAATATATATAGTTTATTAACAGTTATACAATAAGAATATATTAGTCCATAAATTGATCTCAGAAATTACCTATAATTTAATCCTTGATGGGATATAACAAGTACCTGTACATTTCTGGTAATGGTGGCAGTAGTTGTCCACGTTTCAGCTAAGTACAGCAGAACTGTATTGACGTTTGCATTGAAACTTCTGACATTGATGTTAGCTGACAGTTATTTCAAGTTTCAAATGTACTCCAATCGCAGGAATGCCACCCTTGCTTTGCAAATCTTTGTGTTTACATCTGCATCAGATCTTCCTTGTTCATCGACGATGCTGCCTAGGTGAGTAGAAGTTTTTACCACTTCCAGAGCTCCTCCGTCAAGTGTTATTCGGCTGGTGTTCTTCGCACTGTAATTTTGATCATGCTTTCTTCTGTGTGTATGTTGAGGCCAACTGCTGTAGAGGCTGCCGTCACAATGGCTGTTTCCATCTGCACATGTTGCTGAGTATAGTACGGAACAGTCAAGTAGTCTGCGTAGTCTAAATCGTCCAGGTGCATCCATTGTATTGCCCTATTCCCCTCAAATCCTCTCTTAATCCAGTCAACCACCAGAAATAGGAAGAAAGAACAAGTATAGACAGCCTTGTATGACACCGGTCTTCACTTTGAATACTTCTGTGAGCTGCCCTGCATGTACGACTTTGAATTTTATTTCATCAAAGGAGTTACCTAAGATGATGACGATCATATCAAATACAACATAGTGCCAAAAAAGATTCCGTAATGTTTTCCTATGCATTCAGTCAAATGCTTTCTCAATATCAAGGAAGTTGATGTATGGTGACGAGTCCCATTGAAGTGATTTTTTGACGAAAATCCGTCGTGTAGAATTTTAGTAAGCACATGATTGATCCTTACGAAAGACAGATGTTGGTTTCGAATTTGGGCATCTACTGAACCGTTTGACAACAGTGTTGAGAACATGACTGGTACTGATAGTAATGTGATACTTCACACATGCTAAGATCTCTATTTTCGATATCTTGATGAGATATCCCATTATCTAGTCTGTTGGTTCATATTCTTTCTTCCAAAGATTCCTGTAGTAATCCTAGAACATTTCTATAAAATCTTAAATACCTTATTCTATTTGCCAATAAAAGAAAGTTTTTTTAAATTGGCAAGTTGTTAAAATATTTACTACTGAATGTGTAAGTGTGATCAAGTGTAAAAATGATCTATTCTCAGTACTCACGGGTATTTAGAGTAAAACTCAAATAAAAACACTGTAACATTCGCCTTCGGTAAAGTTGTCTCGTAGATTCTTCAGCTTTTCAGGAATCATCATAAAATTTACCAATAATTGATTACCTTTCATTTCAATGGTTTCCCATGAGTTCTACATTCTATTTACATTTTATTCCAGTCATTTTAGTTACCACTTTTGTTTGTGATCTTTCCTCTACAGAAATTTCATCAAATCAAGAAATAAACTTGGTTAATGGAAACGAATTGGAATATTCTTTTGTAAATATGAATTTGGAAAAAAATTTAGCAACTATTCCAGTTTCACCAGACTATCATACAGCTGTTCAAAATAATTCAACAACTTTAGAAAATGAAACATTATCAGTATTACACCAGTCACACTTTATCAGTTCTAATATTAGTGGTCAAAGATCAAACGAATTAACTGATATAGAAACAATTGTTTCTGAAACATGGGGTAAGTATTGATATCTTTTGATAGCATCTGTGCAAATGCAAGTAATTAGACTGAATAAACAATTTATCAAACTGAATTAGTCAATGATGTAAATACACAATAATCTTGGGATAAAAATCTATTCATTAGAGCGAGTATGTATATGATAGATAGCTGTAAAGCTGACTTCGTGAACTACATTCTTCTTTGGTTCTGCACGAAAAGTTATTAATAGTGCAAAAAGAAATTTTTCTCTATATGTGAATCTTGTTACCAAATATAATATAGATTGGTAGAGAATTACTAGCCAGAATATTTGGAAGCATTTTCTGTCACGGGCTGACATCTTAAAATACTACTGAAAAACAGGAAGCTCTTCCATTTTAACTTGGATCCCTTGAACATTTTATACTAGCCACCCTGATCTTAGGTTATTCTGGACTAACTTTGGAGCCCATATTATTTGACCACCGGCCCGAATTCAGAGAATGGTATTGTATATGTTCGCTATTTTGTGATAAATTATAAATTGGTATCAGAGTAAAAGAAACCGAATCTTCAGTGTAGCTTGATGCCGAGTCATGACAAAAGTTATCCTCAAATAAGAAATGTCAACTTAAAACACGAAAGTTATGATCAAGATGAATCAATTTAATGTATATTTCACATTTTTATTGTTTACATTAAGGACTGATCTTAGTTCAACAACCATTACAAATTGAGAAGCACTAGACAGATGTTTCATGATAGTAATGCATTATTAATTCACCTAAACTGTAATCTTGCTTTGATGAACCTTTAATGTTATTGGTTGAATCAAATAGAATAAATACATAAATAAATAAAAATTTGGTAACTGTTAAGGGTAAAGTTAGCTAGGGATTTGTCATTTGACAGACTTCAGTATTATGATTTAAATTAAACCTAAAGCTCTGTTAATAATATGATTTCCTTAACGCTATAAAAATCTTGACTGTTAAATAAAGCACGAGTAATTGAACATAACAAAATTAAAACAAGGAGAAATGAAGAGAGCTAACAGAAGACTATAGAGAACTATAAAAACGGTGCAAAAAATAAATGCGATTTAGATGATCAATTATATTTGGTTAGTTACAAAACTATATCCTAATTTCGTCTCTATAGGAATACAGTGGATTTATTAATATGATGAAATGAATAGTCTCAATCATATATTAGGTCAATAGATAAAAATTCACTTAGTCAACAATTCTTATCCCTAAGGATTCGTTTCTGGCTTTTAACTGAATTGTTGCTCTCAGTTGATGGTGAGTTGCCACCCATATATATATATATAACACAAGGACATTTCCTATTGTTGATATATTCAAGGTCACCAAAGATTAATTCTAATGTTCTCCAGAGTAAACAATATCATTACTGACAGAAAAATTTAATCGAAAGTTTTAGAATTGATATCAGATTCTAGCTAGTTAATTAAAACTGACTTTCATCGTAAAACTTAATTTAAAGAAAGCCTAGCCTTCATTATTATTAGTAGTAGTTGTTACGTTAGTTTAAGAGGAAATAAAACATTAAAAACAAGCATATAACATATGCAATTTCAATTGCAAAATGCATTGGCTAGAAATTAGAATGGAGTAAACTCGATATTTTAATAATGAATGATGAGAATATCATCAATCACAAAACACCGTGTTCTTAAATCCTTCGAAAATTATTTCATTGTTAACATCAGTCCTATAAGTCTAGTAGTTAAAGTACTAAACATGATTTAAAGTAATTGTTTATAATTTGAAAATTAAGTTAAAAAAGAATGATTTTTATAGAAATGTTGACAAGTGATTAAACTGTCAAGTTGTTTACTTCTGTATTCTCTATTTTGAACTTGACAAATAGAATGAAATCCGTTTTCAAATGAGTGATTCATATTATCAAACATCACATTTTATTCCTTTTATAAATTTCGATAGAACAATGAGAAAACGAAGTTGATCTAAAAAAAGTGATGTATTTGCGCTGTACATCTCGAACAATCTGATCACACATATACTTGTCATTTTATATGAAAATTAATAAAGGTCAATTAAATGAAAGTTCAGGTAAACGAATTGATAATTGTAGATAAAAGGGAGTGAAAATAAACATCGTATAGAAAGACAAGTGGTTGATAGCATTCGATCTGCACTAAATAGAACTTGACACATATGGCATTGTTCACCACCCAGTGATCAATCAATTATGATTAGAATTTCTAGACGTTTTAAAAGCTTTGTTAATGTTTATTCTGTGCACCGTTTAAATTATATGCTTTGTTATCGATGAGGGTTATATATGCCAATATCACATGTTCCGATAAGCGTGGGAAGTAGAAAACCATGCTCATCGATAACAAACCACATAGTTTAAACGAGGCACAGAATTGACATCAATACAGCTTTTAAAGCGTATAGAAATTGTCGACGACGAATTGGTAGGTTTATAGATGCCTTGATTAATCGTAAATTCAAACCCACCATATGGATACAGAAACAATTTGTCATAAGATTGAATTAGTCTAAATAATTCTTATGTCATTTTTTGGCCTAGAGTAAAGTGACAATTTATTGTTGTTCTTTCTGTCCGATGTTTATTTTCACTCCCTTTCATCTACAATTATCACTTCGTTTACTTGAACTTTCGTTTAATTGACCTTTATTAATTTTCATATAAAATGACCTCACAAATATACGTGTGACCAGATTGTTCGAGATGTATAGCGCAAATACATCACATTCTTCAGATCAAATCCATCTTCACATTGTTCTGTCGAGATCATATTCTGATTGTAAAATATTTTCTGGTAATTTAAGGCTTATTTACTTCTCAATTATTTCTACAGGTGAAATAAACACTGATATTTTTCAATCTTACTGCTTTTTATTCAAATTAGATAATAAAATGGAATGTTATTCAATATTTTATGAATGTCTTCGTGAACCTGTTTGTCTTCAACATTTTGTAAATCTTCGTTATGGATGCGCACAGATGAATAGGCAGTTTATTGCCTGTAGAAATCCAAATCAGTGTATAAACTCACTAGAACTTTTTTACAAGGAAACAAATTCTCTGGTAAATAAAGCCATATCATGCACTTGTACAGTAAGTGATTTGGATTGTCAGCAGATTCAAAATGTATTTGTACCCAGATGTATTCATCAGTCATATGGATTGAGGATGGATTGTTATCAAGCATGGGTTAAGTGTCAGAATGATCCAGTTTGTAGGTATGCAATATAAATAAATATCATTTAAATACTTCAAGATAAATATCATTTCTGATTTGTGGACTTATTAAATTTCAGTGATATGTGTTGTAATAATCATACGAATAGATGACTGCAAACATGATTTTTGGCTACTACGATTGATGGTAACTGAGGCGTGACCAATTAAAAGTCTATCTATTCTATTGATGCTGGGTGCGGAAAGCATCGATTCACTAAAAATTTCTAGTGCGTCTTGCAAATGAGTAATAACTAGCTGCGAACCATGACTTACTGTTAACTTCATGGAATCGTCTAATATTTAATCTAAGTAGGTGAATAAAATCTTCAGACAGATCTGCGTATTGAATATTACAAACATAGAAGTTATATTTGAAAACTATCATTATACCGATAAATTGGATAATTCTCTCCAGTTTACTTGTAACAAAATGTGATATGCAGAATATAATTTTCATACCATCAATATACTGCCTACTTTATTTTGATATGGTCAGAAAAATGAACCATTAGGTACGTGCGCATAATTTACAATCCGAATGATCTACTTAGTAGGTTGAAAAAATCATGTTTATGTCCCATCAAACAGTGTTATAAAATTTAATGGGTTAGTAACCTTTGATTTGTGAATGGTACCAAAACAGAACTTAGTATTTCACAGCTTGTCATGTCTCAGCTCCTACAAGTATGCCACTCGAAATATTACTTATGTGTATTTGGTCAACAAACAAATTCGTGAAACATTCGGGAAGTTTTTGAATTTATTTCAAAACAAATCATTTCGGTCCACATTTATCAATGGAGTAAATCCAGTAAAATAATAAAGAGGCCGCCTTGAACGTAAAAACGGCATGCATACAAAGTCTTTCATGATGTAGTTTGTTTCATCAAACCTGAAAAATGTCTGTGTTTTACATCAGTACAGGACTGAAACAAAAAATTTAACTAAAACGTTTGTTCTGAGAATTCCAGACCCTTAACATCAAGCAATCATGTGCTATTTGTATTTAAAGTAACTAAAGAAATCCTTTAGCGGATTTATTCTCAATTTACATCTCAAAACAATTTATTTTAGCGCTAAACTCAGAAGGTAATTGTCTGGATGTAACTAAGCCAACTTTACGAAACACATATCACAAGAAACCGAGTTAAATTGTGTTATGGATTTTTAATAACATGCTTTTTCCGATGTTCCCTGCCTAAAAATTACAAACTATCGAAATATATTATTGTTTCATTATATAAGCAATAATTGGTACCAGATCATGACACAAAACTGAACGATAATGTATTGGATTAGTTTATAAATTACTACAACCACTTCATGACATATATATTTCACATAGAATACGATTTTGCTAACTGATTGGTAAATTACTTACAAAACTCGGCCTGAAATGATCATCACATGTAAATAAACACATGTAGATGAAACACATGTTTGCTTCATTTATGGAAAATTATTTGTATAAAAAAATGTGAGGGTTATACAGTGGCAAAGCAGAGTGCTTTATATACAAGATTTTTCTCTTAAATTTGACGGATTTATAAGTTGTGTAATCAACAGCTCTAATAAAATATTTTTATCACGATAACTGAAATGGTTAGCATTAAGAATGTTGACATTTTTGAAATCTTTCAGGACAAGTTATGATCTGCTAGTTTCAGAATGTCAAACTTCAAGTGGGCTTTGTTACTTAAATCCATCTGCCTGTTTAAACTCTTACCGAAGATTATGGAGTGGTCCATGGGCTGGTGGTTGCAGTTGTGAAGTAACACGACCGAAGTTAAGTCCATCAAATAATGTACTAACAGGATGCAGTGAATTCGGTAGAATTTTAACACAACCTCCCTGCGTTGGTAAGTATTCAGTAATGAATAAAAGGAGTACTCATACCTAGGGTTTGTAAAATTCCATTTTTTCTTCCCATAGTTAAAATAATCAAAAACTCAATCAGACAAAAAATAGAATCGTGTTCATTTCAGCAGTGTTTTTAAATTATGTGCTCAATCAGTAAATATTTAAGAATTATTTGGATTAAGATAAAATACCTTATCTAATAACCTATATATACAGTAATAACGTAATCCTTAAAAAACCCACTCCACAATTACCAACACTACTAGGAATACTAAGAATAATTAGTAAGGATGACAGAATTGAAGTAAAACGTTAGTTTTAACGTTACATTCACCTGTCTGATTTTCTATTGGTTAAATTAGATTAATTCAGAATGAAAGAAGCTTTGTTGGCCGGGAATTTATTCGAACAGCTTCATACAGTATACTAAAATAATATGTACCGATTCGAAAATGTACAGTAATTTAAGACCATTCATAAACCAGAGATTATTCAAGACGTATTGAGAAACATATAGCATTTTATTCTATGTGACAACTTGTCTCAAATAATTTTTTCAATTGTATTTTATTCATTGTTTCAACAAAACAAATCATTTCTATATCTAACAGTGTGAACCATGTAAAAGACAGAAGTTTACACTGTACTTATGTGAAACGCTTTGTTTCCGTCTTCGGATTCATACCAAGGGATGTTTCGTTATGAACCGGTGGTGAATAAATAATTATTGAAAAACAGTTAGATTTTCACTCTATGTTATATTTGTGTGCATTCACGAGTGCTACTAAGCCCATGTATCCAAGTAGATTAAACTATGGACAGACAACAGTTATTTCTCAGCCTGTATCGTCAGTTAAAAGTGATTTTGAAGAATTGTTTAGTAAATCAACTCTCTTGACAACAAATCTTTATTTAACCTTCCAATAATATTGCAAAATTGTCATTATGATTTTCAGAAATCACTCCCGAAACACATCAATTAGAAAGCCCAACTTTAACTCACAATCCATGTAAGTCAGCTTTTGATATTCAGTATATCATCATCCATTTTCATTATACAAAATGTTTTTTTGGCCTTTTCAAAGCATTTTGTCACTGTAGAGGAAATTAGCTTGACAAGAAGTAAAACGGAACATTTTCCAATAATAAAGGATTAATGCAAAGAATATGGGATTTTATTTGACATCTTAACAGATATTCACCAAAAGAATCTAAAACATTTTTACAGTGATAACTGTAACTTATCAACAATTGTTCAGTTTTACTATGAAACATGATACTCCAACATATGAGATTATCTTGGCTCTTTTACTAAAATTTGAAAGATTTATTACTGGTATAAAGTTGGATAGTGTGTTTATACAGTAAAATTACTCATTATCTGTTGTTTGTTAAATTGTATACTAGATGTTGTAGGAATGACAAACTTATAAATTCTTTTGACAATACTGTCGTTCATAATTATTCTTATTCTCTTTGCAAATTTACTAATTATCAACAAAGAATATATTTATAAAAATAAGTTTACTAAATCCTACTTTATCAGTATACGTATTAGATTAAATTTCCAAAATTGGGTGATCATTAAATATTTGAAGTCATGAATCAATCGAAGCTAAACCACCATGGAAAACCTGGACTCCATCATCTGCTTACTAGTGACTGACTTCAAGATGCATTTCCTGGATTTCTAATGAGAAGCCGTGGCCAGTGGAGTTCAACCAGGTCTGTTGTGAGATATAAGCTCACTGAAGACATTAGTATACGGTGAATTAGTTGAAGTTAGACATTAACACCGTTGGATGCCGGCTCAGTGATCTAGTTGTTAAGTGCTTGCGCGCAAGACTGATAGGTCCTGTGTTCGAATCTCGCGGGGGGCGAGGTCTTGGATGTGCACTCTTGAGGAGTCCCATGCTAGGACGAAACGGCTGTCCAGTGCTTCCAGGTTTTTCATTGTGGTTTAGCTTCAAATGACTCAAGATCTCAACTACTGAAATTTCTAAAATCTCCACAAAACCCCTTCTGATTATTAAGTAGACAGATTTTCCAAGTGGTCTTTATCATGATCATGTTTATTGTGAAAAAATACTATTGATTCAACGTTGATCGTCATGACACACAGTTGTTAAGTGTGAGGCATCTGGAAAACTGTTTGAACGATATTTTAAAAAAATTATTGCGGGCTAATAACCACTTAATAGCCGGTAAAATTGTAGAAAGTCTGTGTATCATACATTTAGTAGGGCTTACAACATTTCATATTTATCAATGACAGATCATATTCTGTGATTGGAAAGGTCCTGATTTTGATACTCCTTTGTACAATAGCAAATGAGCCATAGGATATTCAGACAATACGTAATAGATGTGAAACCAATAGTTCAGAAGATTTCAAATAAACATTAAGAATAAATAAAAACAATATATTTGTAACATCCCAATGAGTAGAAAATTAGATTTTCTGACGTTTCGTGACTTAGTGTAAGTCACTTCTTCAGAGAATAAATAACCAAATTAAAATTAATCCAAGTTCAAATAGTACAACGGAACAATGCAAGAATAATATTGGATCAGTCAAAAACAGGTCTGAACAAGTTGATGTCATGTCATTTCTGTCAAGGTGATTCATAAGTGATTTGTATGTAAATTTGTGTGTGTATGTATGTGTGCATTATTTAAGAATGAAAACTTGTATGACCTTTATGGTAAGAAAGGACAGAATTTAAATTTGTAATATGATAGTGTGAAATTGTAAATACGATCAGACTGAATGGTTGGGATAGAATGTCCAAGTAGGATGTATGGTAAGGCCTTCTTTTCTATTGAGAGAAGTAGGATTATCACAGATTGAAATCATGAGTCAGTTGAAGCTAAACCACAATGGAAAACCTGGAAGCACTGGACGGCCGTTTCGTCCGAGTAAGGGACTCCTCAGCAGTGCGCATCCACCAACCCGCTCCCTGCGGGTTTCGAACCCAGGACCTACTGGCTTCGCGCGCGAGCACTTAACCATTAGACCACTGAGCCGGCATCCAACGGTGTTAATGTCTAACTTCAACCAACCCACGAAGTGCTCGCGCGCGAAGCCAATAGGTCCTGGGTTCAAATCCCACAATCCTGCAATTTTTCTTCCATCATGACCGACTAGCGTATAACTGACACGTCCGTTGCATGATGGAGTGGTATTTCCGTCGTAAAATAGTTTACGTTTCTCATGTGAGCCAGCGAAAACGGCGGCTAACGAAACACGCCCTCCATAATGGGTTGTGATAGCGCAAATAATAATTCCCGCTTCATTTTGGTTAGTCGCTAGGTTCAAGCGTAGAACTGTGAATGAGATTTGAGACTATCCTCAACCCTACTAAAACTGTTTCGGTCTATGCTAAGATTCGTATTTATTATGTAATCATTACTGCAATAACCATTGGATAATATTCAATATATTCATCTAGATAAGGCTGAAAAGTTTAGATTAATATATTTTTAAGGACAAAATAGTCTTTTTATTCACTTTGGGGCCATTTGCATCATGGGATACAGTCCGATTTTACCTCTGTTTAATGATTTCAATACAATCTGTTAGCTGAAGTTTCCAAAAGTCATTGCTTTCTGTTTTCTACCTGATTGATTACTTTGAGCTCATTCATAAACAATTTTTCAAGAGGTTTTTAAGGTTCTTGAAAGAAGCCCGTTTAACTTTAGCACAGTTGACTAACTATATTATTTTACTGAACAGTTTAGGAACTTTTTTAGACGAAATTTATGTTAACCATTAGAATGTAGATGTAAGTTGTATAACAAGTATTTTTGAAAATTGCCCCTCTATTTATAACTCTAAGCACGTATTTTCAGGTTTGATCAAATCTTAACATGTCACGTAACAGTACATTAAATTACAAATATATTTTTGAATGTGTAATAAAATGTTTATCCTTTGAGGGTATATAGCTCGTTACAAAAGATTAGATTAGTTCATTTAGAACTTACATCATATTATTACAAACTTTATAAGAAAAGATGGATAGTGGCTAGCAGTAGAATCCAGGACGCGCGTTTCGTCCTATTTAGGACTCGTCAGCTCGGTGTACCTGCATCTCAGATTTGATATCTGCACTGGGACTCAAACCCAGTACCATCTAATTATGGTTTTTCTCTGAAATAGTTGATTTAACTATGTGAACTGTATTTCACACCTATTTATAAAAGATCAAATCCTACAATCACTGGAAAACTTCGGTGGACTAGTTAAGTATTTGAACTAGCTTAACAGTATTTCAAAACAAAATAAGCCAAAATGGGAAATTTTCGATTTTCACTCTTATACTAATTTCAAATAAAATTTTATTTTGTTTTTCTTTCTCAGTATATTGTAAAATGATGAAAAAACTACAATTGCCTTCTGAAGATTTTGTCAGAATTCCATCTTTGCGTGATTATCAAGAAGACAGGCAGCTTGCACGAAATTGTTCTTTACTATGCAATTGTCACGTTGGTTGTCGATATGAAATGTGTTATGGAACAGAGATGAAAATTTGGCATGCTTATTCTTTATCTAATCGTACTAGTCAAAATGTTACTTTTCCAACACGAATACAGACAATCAATATTTATCAAGCAAATTTATCATTAGGTTGTCTTTATCTACCAAAATTTAATCGTCACTGTGTATGTTATGCATATGATCATGTTGTCTGTGATGTATTCATTCCGAAAAACCAATATTTCTTAACAGGTTTGTGACCTTAAATTACCTCACTTTGTCGTTAGTATGTTTTTCTAAATAGAAATGTGATCGATTAAAAAGTTCGATAATTTAATTGCAAAACTCTCTTAATGAATTAAATGGCACCAGGACACAATTTATCTAAATAGGTATTCCAACCAGACACCGTTATTGTTTATGTACTAAGTAGAAGAGACTGAAAATTCTTCTGTTTAATACCCATCTGTTATTTTTGCTCAACTTCAAAGTAACCGACTTCCCAGTCGAATTTAATTTGTTGAATGAGTAAATACTGACAGGAATCGGTGAATAGAAATATCTAGATAACGAATCGTTCATTATGAACAAATGAGCTATTAGCAATAATTCATAAATATTCACAGTCCTATCTCATAATCAGATTAGAATCAGATACGTCTGTTTTACTAAATGTATTCGGCTGACTGATTTTTGAGTTTTTGTAATATAAAGTAAGCTAACTGTAATGATTCGTAGGTGAAAAACTCACAAAAACATGTAGATTGTATGACAACATCATGTTGTATAACAACAAATCGAAAAGGTCATTTGCGATGCTTCAATCATAATGCGATTGAGTTTTTCACTCAGTGAAAAAAGAAAACAACTATATATAGATGAAGATAATGGAACTTTTATTACCAAACAATTTTAGTTTCTTACCATATCGTTTATGGTAAATTAATGATACTCTCACACAAATAATTCTAAGCAAATATGCGTTATATTACTTTTAATCTCTACTTAGATTTAACAATCTTTCATGTTGACAACGGTGGTTATTATTTTCATTAAATTATGATGTGAAGTTGAATATTTATTTTCTTCACTGGAGTAATATACTTTTCCATGGTTTAAAGTAAGCTACTAAAGTTTCACTTGTAAATCTGACTCACAACAACTTAATTGAAGTGGTCCATGGTCCACATATCCGCTTCTTTTTGATTTAGTTAAAGATTTTTCAATGATACAACTATAAGCTGATAACTTGCTACACTGTAAATAGGATTTTTATATACTTTGTCATTCATCTCCACAACTGTGTCATGTCACCATTCCATTTCTTATAGGTCATAAACTATTGATTGATTTCGATGTGGAAATGTATTCTACAACGATTGATTTGCTGGCTGATGATAAATCACTTTCAGAATATGAATTTTACGGAAGTATTATTCAACTTGAATTTCTGCTGACCAATTTCCTAGCACATTTATTTGGACAGAAAAGCTGTCGGTTGATATTATCTGCATATCAAACAAACGATGATAAACATTTCTGGTTAAAACAACATTCAACCAACAATAATTCGAATAAGTTATTAAAACGATTAGAATATCTACTGGCAATCAATTTAGATACATCTTTTCCGACAGAAAATAAAACATCTGTATGTTTAAAACAAAATGTATTGTTAAAATAACTATGTTTGTTAATTTTATAAGTTGACATGTAGCATTTTTCTATTTTACTGAGTTGTAGTTTGTAGATTCATGTAACGGAAAAACTGACTGTTCACTGGAAGCGTTCGCGATTACACACTGTTCAAGTTGTTTGATATCTTATGCAGTTATGCGTTAACGATTTCTTTCATGTTAAGAAAGTAAATTATTTCATCTGACTTTATTGATATTTATTGTAATTAGTAGTTTGAGGACTGAAATTACTGGAAGTATGCAAAACGTTCATAGTCCTACTGTTGTTTGATAACAAAACATGTCATATTTATCAACATACATTATAATAATTTATATAAATATTAAAAGTTGTGCCGAAGATGTCACTTGTCAGTAGTATTGTAGTGAACAGAACACGAGTGGGGACAATCAAATGTATTGAACACAAAATTACAGAGCATCTCAATAAAATTTGAGAACCATATATCAAATCGTTAATTTGCAAAATGTCTAACAGTTGTTTCAAAATGCCTCAGACTTCATTGTCCTTGTATTTTCATACAAATTGCATTCTATTCCCACTCTTGCTTTCTTGGTTTTCCCCCATCTTCTGCTGCCAGACATTAGTTCCTGACTCGCGTCATATATTACTTATATCAATATAAGTAGCACGCACCACAGTATGTTTATATATAAATACATAGAGGTGAAGTTCACCATATAATTGTTTAATGACAAGAAAGTTTGACTAAAATGAATTAAATAGGAAAATATTCAATTATGACTGAACAAGGAAACTTTATCTACCTTTTCTCAGCATTGATTGATAAATTTACAAAGGAAAATATAATGATAGCCTATATTCAAACAAGTAAACTCAATAAATAAAATCAGTATCTATGGAAAAATTGTTGGTCAATATAACCAAATTTAACTCACAGATCCACATCAGAAAACTGATATTCTTTATTTGTAGCTGAAAATTATTGTTCATAGGATTTATTACTCAGGAAAGTGTTAAAAATGATGTTTTAATGATTTAACAAGAAAACGATACAAGTTTTTCTTTAAATAAGTGCATGTACACTATGCTTTATAATCCAAAGAACTAACATATTCAAATGGTCATATTTCAATTACAAGATTGATAATCTGTGTAACATGAAGTCTTTGACACTTTACTAGTCATATTCATACTCTCAGATTTTGTAGTAAATGTTTTTTGGTCGTTCAATAATCATAACTATGCGAGATGTTTTCATTTATTTACATTTTAGTTATGCATTAATCTACTAGAAGTTCTAACCATAATGATCAATGATCAATATCCACAAATAAGATATAATGTTAAGTTCTCAACATTTCAAAAAAGCATTTTAAAAGCACCAGGATTAAATGAACATTATGATTTAGATAGAACTCTTGATAAAACATATCGTTTACAACAATTACAACGTCAACAACAACAACAACAACAACAGCAACAAGAAACTCAAGCTTGGAGGCATATAAGAACATCGGTACAAATGCAAAGTAATAATAAACTAGAAAAAAATAATTCTCACAAAACATACGTTTCGAGTTACTCCATGTGTAGTATTTTATTGATTTTTACTATGTCTACCAACTTTTTTTAAAAGTAAATTCAATGAATGTTAAAGTATGAACTGTGTAGTTTCATTCAACAATTCCATTTAGACTAAGTAAAGAAAAACAAATTAAAAGTTCACAGAGCATAATTAATAAAATAAGATTTTCAAATCACCGTATCTATTCTTTTGTGATGTGTATACGTGTGTACATTTTATAGTTCTTCTTAATGTTAGCTTTCATTTTTGATGTATACTATTGTTAATAGGTGTGCTTTTATGTCTTGTCTTAGCAGTAAGCTTACAGATCTTATTTTTTAATGAATATTAAGAAGTAAAAACATGTATTTTAATGCTACATTATGATGATTTATCATTCCATTGATTAAATTGTTCTGTTCACGCATTTTAAATACCAGTCCTATACTTTGGTGATCTAATGTTTCAGAAAAAATCTCTTTCATATTGATATGTTGGATTGAAAAACAAAAATAAATTTTTATAGAAAACTATGCTTGAATATACATATCTTCATTGCAATCTCTATTTCCTGTACAAAAAGATATGAATTTTTGTTTGTATCCAAGGTTTTTCATTGTGTCCTCGATTTGCCTATGATGTTTTTACACTGCATTTGTAAAACTATTTCATAGGTACGTTCAAAAGAAAGATAATGTAATTATACAAAGAAATGACATAATACTATATGATACAAATAAATAATTCATTAAAACACTTTGCTACTGTTCAATAACTTTTTTTGATTATGTATAGACAATATTTTGCTGGCAAGAATTGTTGTTTCGTTCTCCTGTTCTCTATTGTTTTCTTGCTTTGATTTTTTGTGAAATAAATGATTAGATTTTATTCACCACCCCCCTTTAAAGCTAATATTTCACAAAAGTGCAATCGTTTTGGCTTAAAAGAAAATAAAAGTAAATTTGTTTCATTACTGATTTAAACCCTTTATAAATTACTTTCTTTATCAGTGGAGCAAACTATAACCTGAAAAAAGTTTTTGACTAATATTTCTACCTCATGTTTTTGTTTTTTGAAATGGAAAAAAACTTCATTTTACCGGTTTATTTGTGTATTCGTTTATGTAAATTGTGTGTTTGTTATTGTTCTGTGATATGTCCTAAAGCACCATACCAAAATATATATAAGATTATGTGTGATCATTCTAATTTTACATTTCATCCTAATCTTAACAAGTAAAAAGTACATCACCTTAAGATTAATTGAATTGGTGCTTCATTGAAATACATAATTCTAATGTTTTACTCTGGTATTCATCATCTACTGGTCATTATCAAATGCGTTTCTTGATAACATCTGAAACAATTATAACTTGCTTTAGTCTGTTCATATAGATAATGTAAATTGGCTGTCAGTAATTCTGCTTCTTTATGCACTCATTATTGTATATTGCAGTATGAACTGAATTGAATGCTTTTAGGTTACAAACTATGATATTGTTGTTATTTGTTTGTTGATACTATTACCAAAAACTATTATTAGCTTTGAATTCTAGAAAGTTGATACTTGACTTTAAGGCAGAAGCGTTATGTTTTTAAAGAATACACTAATGGTTATGGAGAATAATGTCAGGTTCTTAGTTGAGTTGTTACATTCTATAATTACCGTATCGTAGTTGGTCAGCATTCAGAGTTTAATAATCCAACACTAGTTTAACAATATGTATACATATAATAATTGCATTTTGTGAGGTAACTTTAATTTTAGATCGACTTTAACCACAGTTAATTATGTGACACAGATTAACCTAATATCTAGATGAAGCTTGATTTGTCTCGTTAGAGGGTAATTAGTAATAACCGAGTAATTGGGAAAAATCTATATATTGTGATGTATTTCCTGCAAATATTAGTTGTAACAGACACTTAGGTTTTAACTGAGAAAAATTAGGGCATATTTGGTAACGTTCCATGATCGGGCGAAACAACTCTACTCTAAAATGTTATAAAACCTACTGATGATGAGTAACTTAAGGATTTTATGCCTTGTTAATATACTCGATTTCCAATGCATTACATTACAGATACAAGTCTTCTGAAGAAAGTTTTTAATGATTTATGATATTAATAATAAAAGAATTCATGTCGCAAGTGTTATATAAAGGATTCACAGTATTAATAAATTAGTCAAGGTAAATGTCATTTAAGTGAAAATTCGGAGTGACAAAGTGTTAATGTATTTATGTATTGTGAAAATTCCGGAAATTACTGTTTTATCATTACCGGACATACTAATAAATTTTAAACTAAATAGTCAGCTATTCTAAACAGTTTTTGCATGATATATAAAAATATAGTCATGTATTTGGTTTTCTTCACTGTTTAAAAGTAATACAAACATTGAATGAATAAAGTATGTCTTCAGGTAAAATATATTTATCCGTAGTGAACTTAATGTATTTTTGTACATCTAATAATTCTTACTTTGATTAAAAATATCCCATGCTACATTCATTATCAATCTATAGATGTTCATATAATTTTATTTACTTATGTATGTTATATCCTCCTCTCCTATTACTTGTACTTGAAATAATGAACAAATACATTTCATATGTCTCAAAGAATACAAAAAATAATCTGGTACAAGTGAAGAATAATTCACTTCGGAACATGACAACCCTAGCCAAAAATACACTAATTTATACAATGAATTATACACTCAATTAATTTCACAGATTGAAATCATGAGTCAATTGAAGCTAGACCACCATTGAAAACCTGGAAGCACTGGACGGCCGTTTCGTCCTGGTATGGGACTCCTCAGCAGTGCGCACCACGCGGGGCTCGAACCCAGGACCTACTGGCTTCGCGCGCGAGCACTTAACCATTAGATCACTGAGCCGGCATCCAACGGTGTTAATGTCTAACTTCAACCAATCCACGAAGTTGCGCCACCGTACACCATTGTCTTCAGTGAGTTCCTATCTCACAACAGACCTGGTTGAACTCCACTGGTAACGGCTTCTCACTAGAACTTCGGGAGCTTTTCTTGAAGTCAGTCACTAGTGAGCAGTTGATTATTATTATCAGAATGGGTTTTGTGGAGATTTTAGAAATTTCACAGATTGAAAACTCAATTAATTACTAATCAAGTAAATCACATATATGAAAATACCACAAAATTGCATATTACATCTCATATTAAACATAGTTTGTGTTAATTCAATATAAGCAATACCATAACTTAAACAAAAATTATACTAAAAATGAAATTAATATTATATTGAGCAAATGATCAAATTGAAAATAAAAAGAATTTTATTCTAAGCAGTTATCATAATTATTATACTGAATTGAGAAAAATCGTGATCTAACTTTTTTATTGTATCTGTCTCATTTTATCAAATAGAGCTAATATGTATCCCCTATCAGATGCTTAAGTTCAATATTTGAACATGTACCAATGTTTAATTCAATAACATGCCTTATTTTGAAAATTATGAAATTGGCTCTAAATCTAACTTGATTGCTATTGAAATATTTACATATCGCCAATCCTCGTACATAATCATCGACTTAACTCGCGTTAGTGAATAACGGAATAAGTCAAATACGAGAATGAAGTTTTGAATGCATAGATATTTTGGACACCCATTGATCTGGATAAACAATCAGAGAAGCGCAACGAAGGAAGTGAAGAAAAGAGAGAGCGAAATGAAATGGATCAGAGGAGGTATGTGAGCCAACTCAATTTAACCAAGCATGAATCGACATAGATCGCCACACAAAAATAAGTTACAGACATTTGATCAATAGGATAAAAAGTGCACAAACATACGCTTATTTAAAATCAGTCAAGGTTGATAAGCGAATAATTAACAAGGTCAAAATGTGACTCAAATAGTATAATTAAATTTTGAATACATTTGATTTTAACCATTGTAAAGTAATTCGTATGCGGTTAACTAAAAAAGGTTTGGGATCTGTTATAAATACATAAGTTTAAAAAGTCATTATAATTAATCACTATAGAATGTTTGAAAAATATAACAGATGTCATATGAACCAAATAAATATGTAGTGGTTACGTCATACTTCGAACAATGTTAGTCATATGTGTTTGAAACCTAGGAGCTTAGCTTAAAATATTGAATAAACGAACATGGAGTAATGTCCTCCAATTCCTCATAGTAATTTCCTAATATTATGACTAGTCTGATCAAAGCAAATTACATAGACATTTTCGTATTATAATCAGAAATGTCAACTATTTATTTAAGCAAATAAATTATCAAAGCCGTCGAACAAACATTCGCTCAACATATTGAAAACAAAAAAACGTAATTGTTCTGAGAAATGATGTCTTGAATTCAAATGATACTCCAAAAGATCTGTTCACTGTTTAAACTTAGTTAACGAATATTCTTTTATAAGCGTGACAACTAGACAAACACAAACCATTCTAACCAGTTAAATTATCAGTCAATATGTTACACTTTAGATTTGTAATATCTATGAGTAAAATAATAAAATTCATTCAACTGGGAAGACAGATGTAATAATTTCAAGAGATAAAGTTAACTGTTAGTAGTTAATACTTTAATATAGAACTGTATTTAAATGAACGATTCATATAATAATCACATTCCTTTTTAATGTTAATCTCACTGAAAACCTAATGTTTATTTTAGATGTATTCATCCCCATAAATTATGATTTACTCCAAATCTTAATGAAATGTAGAATCCATGATGTAAGTTGTATAGTGATTTATTAAGTTCCATGATATCAGTTTGCATGTTTTAAATAATTAGACTGGCATATATATATAATACATTCAATATGCTAGAATTAGTGAACAGTACATATTGGTTGCACACTCTGATCCTTTACTAGATCCTTTATTTATTATTTGTCATCAAAAATGTTTCAAAGCAAAATGAAATTATAGTGGTTTAGCTTTGTGAATCAATCACCTTGATAACCGTTAACATATAAATCCCCATTGGTGTTCGAATTCCGAAGGCGATAAGAAGCGGCAACTACCGTTTATTAGCGGATAGCACAGATAACAAGTACATTGAGCGAATTTGGAGGAGAGAGGTTAATATGTGTTTGCGAGTGAATACATAAGTAAATTTATAGTCAAATCGGATTAAGGCGGACCTAGGCACGGCAAAGGCTATTAATAGGATTCAAGCACACATATACATGGTAAAGAGAATGACTTATCGAGCTATATTTAAGCGATCGACACTTAAACTAGAGAGAGGCATGTGCGCGGGCTTTCACACGTGATCAAGTACACATGTTTAATCTAGCATGGCAGTGAGCATAATAATACAAAAAAATAGACGAATAGTTACTGTATGAATAACAGTATCTGCTAAATAAGTTAATAAAAGGGTTTGACAGAGAATAAATCATAGCTGTATTGCTATAATAGTCATGATCAGCAATAGCATGTCTATTAAATTAATATTGAATTAAAGATCATAGACCTGTTGCGACTATATCGGCGATATCTGCTAAGAATACATATGTGCCAAAAAAGACAAATCAGACTTTAACATTGACAACATTAAAATAAATGCACTTGCAAACTAAACCCATTCCATTTGAACCAACTAGTGTACATCAGGACTCAGTAGATAGGTGGATAATATATCGAGTTTTTGAAGCAAAAAGTACTGAATACGAGTTCTTGTGTAAAAATCAATACCAGGATGTTGACTCATTCATCTAATGAGTTGTAAAATAAAACAATTCCATTACTAGATTCCATTGATAATAATTTCTCACTTTTACTAAAACTTGCCGATTTATTCGCAAACATGTCTTGCCTATTTTCATATTTCTAGATCAATGTTTCCTTATTTTGAAAATATGTTGCAGTTCAAATAACCATCGTCTTATGAAGTGCTCCAGCATACTTATACTACTTATGACATGAATTCAGAGATTAGAATGAAACATAAAAAGTCACATTTTATCAACAATTTTAAACAAATAAATAGATATTGATAGCACGTACTTTTACTGTACGCATAGTTCTGGCTTGTGCTCAAACTGCATCCATAGAATGATTACAGTCGGACAGATGTTTAACTATAGAATTTCAATTGCTTTCCGGAAATACGTCCCAGTTTGGTTCTACAAAGATGATAGAAAAACAATTAGAAGTTCTAAGGTTGAACGTCTAATCGACTATAATCATTCTACGGATGCAAAGTTTGATTTTAAGGTTGTGTTATGCCCCGATAAGAATAATGAGTGGTAATTTTTGGGATCCATTTGTGGACCAATACTATACGTATATTTTACCGTATAATTGTTAATTAACTAAACTATTCTTATCGATTAAATGCCAAATATTTCTACGGCAGTCGATTGACTAACTCATCGATTAAATGTTTAAAAATTCTTCCATAGCAACATCGATTATATACATATAATTGATATATATGTTTGAATTGTGTTCGTGTGCTCGCTAGTTTCTGGCTGTTTGCACAAT